TCCCTCCCGCCATAGCCTCCCTCCTCCCTCCTCACCATAGCCTCCCTCCTCCCTCATCGCCATAGCCTCCCTCCTCCGTCCTCGCCATAGCCTCCCTCCTCCCTCCTCCCTCCTCGGCGTCCTCGCCATAGCCTTCCTCACCCTCTCCCCGCCCCTGCCCTCGGTTGTCATCTATGAATGATTGTTGGGACTAGTGTGGAGAGAATTCACTGTTTGTGTTTTCTGTCACTTCGCTCCTCTGAGTCTTCCGCTGTGTTTCTTTCTGTTGGGCGGTGTGATACTCCACTACCTCTCCTCTTCCTTCTGTGCATGTATGGGCGTGTACGGGAGTTCTGTGAGTGAGTGTTGACAAAACTTCAACAGACAATCATGTTCATAACAGTTGGTATCAGAGCAGATCGGACCCAGACAGTGGCGAGATGATGGACTGAGGCAGCCATTACTATCTGAGAGCTTCTTACGTCAGGTTTCGTGGAGAAATCGCATCTTCAGGATTGCCCTCGGTAGGGTGTTGGTGAAGGGTGTGTGGCGAGTGGTATGACACAGAGATTGGTGGCGATTCAGTGCTCAGTGGCCTGGGAGGCACTGAGGGGCTATTTTTAGCCCAGGCGTTGACTCTGCTGGTGGAGAGATACCTGGGGGTATGTCGAGTTCTAAATTCTGGACCAGGTTCAGGGAATTTGACTAGTGGGGATTATTCGCCATATCAAGAGCTTCAGTATCACCAAGTTTCAGGAGATTTTGAACATGGGAGCACCAGGAACAGTGAGATGAAGAAACTGGCGAGATGGCAGCCATAGCCAGTTCAGCTTCTTCATGCGGTGTTTTGTCCTGAAGTAAGTGTCTTCCTTACTCAAGTCCCTGTAGCGAGTCTGATAGTTGTGATTAGACTGGGAAAGTTGCAATTGTATGTCTGTGGTCAGTGAAACTTGAAAATCGCACTGCGTGACAGCCATAGTCATTTCCCTTACCTACGTACTTTGACTTCTACTGACTCTGTTTGACCTCCTCTCTGTCTCAAATTGCATCTCAGACTGTATTACAATATTGCGATTCAGTATACACTGTGAATTGAGTAGTTCAGGGTCTGGATGTCAGTGATAATGAAATTGTGAATGTTGCGCTGCCATAGCCAGTGCTTTGGGCAGCTAGGGTTTCTCATATCTTAGGTTCTGTCGGTCAGAATTTCAGTCTGTCAGTCACCCTGAAATCGCAATTCAGTATTCAGTCCGTGTCTGAAAGCGCTATACTGGATTTGATGTTTTGAATCAGGTACAGTGATATTTGTACTTCGCCTCACCTATAGTGGGGCATACAAGGTCCTACAGTGCTAGTGTCAGTAGTAGGAGTCTAAAAATAGCTTGATCAGTCATCCGGTGCATCTTGGTTGACTACTGGGTTCTGGGGATTGCTACTGACTCTCTGCGCTATTCCAATCTGTCTACTTACAGTCCAAGGTTGCATCCTGTTTGTCTAATTGACAGCGATTCTGGGGTTAATGACTCAGATGGGGGTTCTGGGCTGTGAATGAAAAATCGCAAGTCTGATTTTATCTGGTTTTGACCTAAAATGACCCAGAACAACCCTCAGCAACCTACAGAGGCTGAGCGCTCTTCTGCCCTATACACCACGTCTCTTCTCATCAGGTGGCATTTATTACATCAGTGTGTGAGTGTGTAATCTTAATCTTTGTTGACCTTGTATCTGCCTGTCTATATTTATTTGACTGTGTGAGTGGTTCATTATGGCTGATGCTGAGACAAAGATTGAGGGAGGTGAGACTTCCACCAACCCTCCTCAGGTTCCTCTCTCTCCTCTGGAGCAGGCACTGCTTGAGGCTGAGCAAGCTTGTCTCAAGGCAGAGGCCCAGATCCAGCGGCTGAAAAAGGAGATGGAGGAAGCTCAAGAGGCTAGTAAGAATGAAGAAAGAAGGAATCAGCTACGCAAAGAGGTTGAAAAGGTCGCCAGCAGTGGTACATCCAGTCAGTACAGTAAGGACACTGCTGAACTGGTGCTCTTAACAGACACCATCAATAGGTCCTACTTTTCTAACTGGGACCAGAGGATTCTCGCATTGAGAATCAAGGCTCTGCTATTGACGGAAAGGTTGATAAGTTAGCAGTCAGCCTTGATTCCCTGACTATGAGTGTCAACAGCATCCTACAGCACTTGCAGTTACCTGTCCCTTCTTCCAAACCTCCTCAACCTTCCCCAGCGTCCTCTACACCATCTCACAGTCGACCATCTTCGCCTGCTGGTTCTCATGTGTCCACTACCCCTGCCGCCTCTGGTACATCTGATCAGCGGCAGCCCAAGCTGACACCACCTCATATGTATTATGGGGAAGACCCCAAGGTGGATGTCTCAGATTGGGTTACTGCCATGCAGGCATACCTGGACAGCTTTGTATGTCCAGAGGTGACAAAGGTAGGGACTATTCTGGGCCGTCTGGAGAGGACCGCATTGAAATGGTGCACATCCTCTGCAGCGAAACAGAATCAGCCCATGGACAAATGGGCACATCAGCTGAAGGTGGAGGGGTTGCTGCAGGCCCTGCGAGACCGGTTCGCTGACAGGGAGCAGGCCCGAAAAGCAGCAGATAAGATAATGTTGCTGGGCACACGCAGATTTGAGGGTTCCCTGTCCAAGCTCTACAACATGTTTGAGAGCTTGACAGCTACTCCGGGTCTGGAGATGAGTGAGTGTGACCAGCTCACCCATTTCCTTCGCGCAGCGCCTCCAGACTACTCCATTGCTTCGTATTCTCTGGGCCACAAGGACTGGAGGTCCTTTGGCAAAGCGGCCCTGGACCTGGAGTCTCGGCTCAAGGTTCAGGAACCTTCTGATGGAAGGAGACCCTCTTCCAGGGGACAGCGCAGGAAGAAGGGTGCTCTGTTGGCTTCTGATGCAGGTTCTGATTCTGATGCATCTTAGCGTGGCAGTCCACCATCTGAGATTGCATCATGATCAGCAGTTGAGCCAGCCGTTCTTGCCCTGGCTGAGAACCTTGCTGCCATGTTCAAGGGAAAGTTTAATAAGGACAGCAACAGCAAGAACTCAGCCAGCCAGAAGGGGAAAGGGAAGGGATGTGCCACTTCCCCTCAGGCCCAGAGACCTAACCTTCCACGAGACGCCCATTGGCCAGTCAACGTCATGGATCCTTCCACCCTTCCCTGGAGAGCGCTCAGAATCCAGGAGGGGCAGTGGCAGAGGAGGAAGGACCGTGGGGTTTGTTTTTGCTGCGAGGGGGACCACTTTTTGAAGGACTGTCCCCATATGCCTCGCAGACCTGACTCTAGTTCAAAAAAATAGAGCAGGAGAGGGAGGTGGAAACTGCAGCTCCTTCCACCTATGCTGACTCAGATTCGGATGGATCTGAATCTGCATCCACCCTCTTTGATTTTGTTGGAGTTGCAGTGTCAAGATCTGTCTCTAATTAGGACCCTGACTGGGATAAGTTGTGGAAGGAGGATGACCATCCGATCCTTGCTAATCTTTTCTTGTGTAGCCGGAAGAGAGAGGGCACTAATCTGATCTCATCCTGCTTCAACCCTCTTCCCACAAGGTGGCCTACGTTCCCTCAGCTAGGGGGAAGTGTAGCTGTCAGTAATTGCAGACGCAAATTCTGGCAAGACTCCGTGTCCGGATTAGGGTTGATAGCTAGTTAGCAGCCTTTCTGGCTAGGATTGTCAGTGGGGTTGAGAGCATACTCCCCTATACTATTCTAGTGAATGACTGCTTTGTCCCCTTTTCGCGACGCCGAGGGCGAAAGCCGTTGTTCCAGGCTCTCGACATTGCAACCCCAACTCCTTATCTGCTGGGTAAGTTGAGTTGCAACATAGTTACTGTTGACAGCCTAGATGCTATATTGTATGCTTCACCACGTCGAGGTTGCTGGATTTTTTGGCATTCTCAGACCGCAGCCTTTCGAACTAGAATTGTCACTAGGGTTGAGAGCGATTGACTCCCCTATACTATTCTAGTGAAGTACTGCCCTTGATCACGTCCACTAGGGGTAGGACACCCGGGCCGATGACTATAGTTAGCAGTTCTAAGTTTCCCTTCTGTTGGCATCACAGTTTACTGTACAAGTCATGCGCCTAGGGAACTGAATTGCAGCAATAGGGCATCGTTCACGGATCTCAACTTTTCAGAAGTGGTCGATTGGGTAAAAGTCAAAAACCAGGTCATACCGTGGTTCTTGATGCAATCGAGGCCTGCTGACACGTTGAGATTACCTCCTCCCGACCTTGCTGTAACGACATAGATCAGGGGCATAGGTTACCCCATGAGTATCTGAGATTCTCCTCTCCAGGAAAGAGTATCTCTACACCCTCTTCATCTGTTGGTTCATTACCACAGTACGATCTATGGGCGCGGAGGTCCGCTCGCCCCGGGGGGGGGGTAAGCATGTAATGAACCCTGCAGATTCTCAGTGGACTGTACATTAGGCTGAGGACGCAGCTTGGGGCTGGCCTCGATTGGGTCCTAGGTTAGGTCAGATTCGTAATTTTGTTTGGCTGAGGACTAACCGGGAGACCTGCCTGTATGGAAAATTTGTGAGGGACAGATCTGCAAATCTAGAAATATGGGCCCAGTACTAACTCGAATTTCCTACAGCTACCCTAACTGTGAATAGCAGACCCGGGCTACCCCTAGGACGGACAGGCCCTATGGGCCTACGCTGATAGACGGTCCTATAGCCTATAGTCGGGTAGGGAGAGGCCCTAGAGGCCGAAACAGAAACGGTACCGATCGGTCAGTCAGTCCGGTCTAGGTCGGTCTAGGCTAGTGCTAGGGTATAGATAGGATAAGGACATCGGTCCTGGGCTTTTGGCAGTTGACACTTCGTGGTGGAAGTTGCTGCGCACACGGTATCAGGTCGTGGTTGCTGATTCCCGTGGTGGAGACGGCGGACATAGCCAGACCTTCGGAGCGCTGGCCAGACTGGGGTCAACGCTGTCCGCTCTGACTCTTTGGGAGTCAAAGCGGTTTGGGCTATCAGAGGTCTGATGGGTTGGAGCACGTGGTGCACTGCTGACCCTCCTCAGGAGTAGGGTCCCAGTGGCGATGCAGCCATAGCTGCATCTTCTCAGAGATTATCATCGTCTGGACTTCATCTTCATCAGGGACTGTTGGCACTGAGCTGCTTCTTCATCATTTGGATGGCGATTGGTTCTGGGAGCCTGTTTCACTTTGGCGCAGGCAACTGAGTTGGATGTCAGGGTGGCGCTGGGTGTTACCTGGGGTTTCGGTGCTATTTGTAGCTGTTCAGGGTGTTGGGGTTGAGGCGCTACCCCTTTGAGGGTAGCGCAACAGGATTCTGAGGTTATCCAGTGAAAACGATGCTCTGAGTTTAATAAACAGTTCCAATAGTGTGTTTGAGTTGTCATCTCTTCATTGTTTTCTGGTTGTGATCACTCGGTTGTCATCTATGAATGATTGTTGGGACTAGTGTGGAGAGAATTCACTGTTTGTGTTTTCTGTCACTTCGCTCCTCTGAGTCTTCCTCTGTGTTTCTTTCTGTTGGGCCGTGTGATACTCCACTACCTCTCCCCTTCCTTCTGTGCATGTATGGGCGTGTACGGGAGTTCCTGTGAGTGAGTGTTGACAAACCTTCAACAGACAATCATGTTCATAACACTATGTTGGTGTGGCGAGAGAGTGTCGACATTGACATTGGAGTTTATTGTACTGCTCTTATTTGGCTGGTATCGCGGTGCATTGTGCTTTCTGCTTGGTACACGACTATCTGGTCTACAGCGTGATATTGCAATTTGGTTTTCTGTCGATCGCTCTCGCTCATATTCCTTGCAATTTGGTAGCGGAGCTGGTTCCGATATCGCCATACTGGCACTGGTGTCTTGGTTGCTTGGTGCGCTGACAAAGCTTCTACTCAGGAAGGATACTTCGAAGCTAGTTGGTTGGGTCCATCCTGGGTAGAGGGGAGCAGGACCGGAAGGCTGTGGCGACAGCGCGGGAGCTGTGGTGACAGCAGATGTATGTGGAATGATGAGGGCAAGCTGATGGGGCATTTTGGCTGAGGTGGCACTGCATTGCGTTGTGTGTGGTATCGAGGCTATGGCCGGTCATCAAAATGCATGCCGGCTCAACTGGTGAGAAATCTGTGGTTGGGGGCAGCTATTTTCAGGTACGTTGTTCCCTTACCATATCTTCCCATCTCAATCTCTTCTTATTGTGAGGAATAGAGTTCAGCTTTTTGTTCAGGAGTCGTGAGTGCTGTACGTTGAGAGTTGACATTCTTCCCGGTGGCGCATCTGGTGGGAGAGGGCAGTGCCTCTGAAGGGCCCTGGACGAAGCACGGGTCACGGTCACCATCCCAACCCAAGGGGGAGTAGAGCATGCATGCTTTGGTGCATTGTCCGTTGAGCTCTTGCTGTGCATAGAGGGTTGTTGGGCTTGCAGGCCTTATGGAGGATTGACGTGCACCGGACTATCGTTAAAGATACTCCGGTGGGAAAAATGACTCGTACGATATGTGAGGATAAAAAATTAACAATAGTACGGATGAGGCTGGCTTGCTCTTCATCACCTGGGAACAGGGGTGGGCCGTTGTGCACACCAAAGACACCGCTACTCTGTTGATGCAATCAGGACGTTGGATACAGGGGAGGGAAGGTTCCAATTGGTGCTCGATTACTATTAGTAGTATTCCCATTCTGCATGCATCTTTGCAAGTGATTTATTTTTATTTTGTGATTAGTTGAGGTGTTATGGACTGCTGACACCTGACAGACAGCTGTAGATTAGAACTGCAGCAGTCTACCATTTGCAGTTCTGTTTACTGCTGCTGTTTGAGGACTGGGAAACAAGTTGCTGTAGACGAAAGAAAGAAGAAGGTTTCACAAGAATGGAAAAAGAAAGGTAGTCGATTGATGATGATTGATTCCGATGGCAATCAAGTGGAGGTCGACGAGATTTTTGAGCTTGTGGAAGAAACAGAGTTAGGCGGCGAGGAGAACGAAGGGGGAGGAAACTCGGTGCAGCAACCAAAGGTAAGGCTGCTGGTCCGCGCAAGGGCGGCCAGCAAAAGAGTCAGGGGAGGACCCAAAACTCACACCAATACTCCTGCACGGGTGAGAGCTGGCCTTGATCAAGATGTGTGGAGATGTCGATACACGCGGGGTGCTTGCACTAACTGCGGCCAGAACGGTTATCAACCGTTCAAGTGCAAGAACGCGAAGGTGTCTCAGTAGATCCCACCCACATTGGGTGTTGGCGGATCTTCCGGCCAGGGTGGAGATTCTACAAGCTCATCCCAGGGAAACACGTTGGGCTAGTAGAGGCTATAGTTGCCTCTACTCGTGCTGAAGTGGAGGATGTACCCTCACCACTTCAGGAGTTGGCCGAAGCTATTGACTCACTTGTCACCCTGCAAACTCATGTAGACCAAATGATACTCTATTCGTTAGATGTGTTTGGGGCCTTAGAGGAGTGGTCAGCAAGCGACCCTTGTGAGTCTTTGGTGGCTATGTCAAAAGGTCCTAGAGGGGAGCACTTAGTTGTCGAGGTCAGTGTAGGTGGCCTCAAGCGGGGCGCTTTCGTAGACAAAGGCTCCACACGAAACTTGACAAGTCGTGACTGTGTTGAGAAGTTGCACCTAGGGGACCGGGTGCAACGACTAAGTAGATTTGTGGCTTCTACTTTAGCCAACAGGGAGCTCATGTTTGTCCATGACTATTTCACGGACGTGGTCTGTAGACTCGACACCTTCTCCTATGGAGGAGGGGAACTTAATCATAAGATCCCATTCCTAGTTAGCAATGACTTGCCATTCGCCAAGGAGGGGACCGGGTGCATTCCTGCGTGAGCCATGAAGCGCTGCCACAAGCGACTTGTGCAAGGAGGTCTGCAGATGAGCCCGGAGGACGCAGTGAGCCAGAGAGAAGGAGTTAGTATAGCAATAGGCTAGAAGCAGCCATAGCTGCCATAGCTGTAATTCATAGTAAAGTGTGTGTGTGTAAGTGTGAGTGCTC